AAACACGATTTGCAGGAATGTGTGTAAACACCCAAGCCAGATATTCTCTCTTCTCGGTATTTTGTGTAAAAGGGTATTTACTGTTTTGCTGGCTCACCAGTCTTGGTATTTGCCCCCCGCATCCTCGCTTCTAACACATGCCAAGCATGTGGGAGACATTGATCAATGCTTATGAAAGAAGGGCGATCACAGGGAGTAGTTGAAAAGTGCCCTGGATGGGGTGGCGGGAGACTTGCTGTTCTCCTATCTGCAACAAAAGGGAAAAAGAAGAAAAAGAGTTTGGGGAGATGGGAGCCCAGAGCCTCCTGCAAGTGTAAGGAGGGCAGATTTTTTCTTCACAAGCGCACAGGTAATTGACACTAATGTCCCTAGCTGACTCTGCAGCGCCAGTTAATCACTGGCTGGGACAAAATGGAGAATTCTTTTCTAAAGGCAATACTTAATCTGTCAGAATGCAGCGAAGCTCTATCCACGCCCCCTGTAAAGTTTGATTGAAAGTTCTCTGGTAAGACTCTGCCATCTAAATTAGGACATACACCACAAGTGTTGGACTAAAATCAAAACCCCGCCAACACTGTGTCCCAGGATCCTCTGGGGGCAGATTTCACGTAATTAACACACATTTCCTTGGAGCCAACACATCAGGAACAGCTCGGTGCTGAACTGAGTTAGGCGCAGGCAACTGGCCTTCCGTCAGCTACTCCCTCCAGTGTCCTTCACAGACCAGCGCAAGAATTGAAGGGGGCTGGGTCTTCGGATGATCAAGTAGAGGATGGGCACACTGGCCAGGGCTTTGTTCTCGCCTTTCCACAACCAGGTCACTCTTGCAGGGCTTGGGATCACAGATGGACAACCGGACCGAAATCTGTAGTCAGTCTGAAATGTTTACAGCCGTTTCTGTGTGTCCTCAGGAAATCCTAAAGGAAAACTTAAGGATGTTTGAATTAGTCCAGAAACGTCCATCGCACTGGCCTCCCTTCGTCCCTCCAGCCAAGCCAGAAGTGACAACCACTGGGGCAGGTAAGCCATTGTTTGCGGGCTCTTGGGTAGCGGTTGTTTCACGAGACCGAAGTGACTGTGGCTCACGCTTTCCATGGAAGGTCCAGTTTCTCCTCAGCTGGCCTGAGCAAGGAGTGGTGTCCCCGATGATTTTAATCTTCCAGTGAACTGATCTTTACCAATTTCAAAGCCTGATAGTTGAAGAAAATGAGCTCGATGCAAAAGGGCCATGCAAAATCAAAAATGACGAGAACGTGTATTCATGGTCTGGCCCCAAAACCAAATCAGGGGCCAGGGGTGATTCAAAAGGTACCTCAAAGACCCCAGAGCCTCATCCTCATCCCTGGGAATAAGAGCGTGTAACGAGCTCAATGGTTTTTGCTTCTTTTGAAAGAATCTCTAGTGCTTGTCCGCGGTCCCACCTGCGAGTCTCCTCCACAGAAGCTTTTCTGTAGCAAAACCATTAAAAAATGATTAGTCTTAACTACTGCGTAACTGTACTGACCACTTCAACCCGAGTGTCAAGCTTTCTTCTTTCTCATTTCCATATTCCGATAGAATTCATTGACTCCACGGAACAACTAGAGGAGTTTGACCTGGAGGAAGATTTCGAGATCCTGAGTGTCTAGGGTAGTGGACACGCGACTTGGAGGTCTGTCTTCGATCTGGCACCAGAAGAACACGAACCCATTACATGAGACTTTTCTAGTCAGCAAGTGCCTGATATGCCAACAGCATACAAACTTGATAGCAATCATGACTGAGCCAATTACCATTTCTCAGAAAACGAACGATAACAACCCTTCCCCAGAACGAACAAGAACAATCATGGAACATAGGAGCAGAAAGGTTAGGAGCCGTCCCTTGCTTCCCAGCTTGTCTCACCTGGCCACAGCGAGTCTTCAGCTACTGAAACGAGGAGATGGATGTCTAGCAGATAGACAGCAACTCCCACCTTGCTTCAAGCACCAGCAGAGGAGAGATGGTTACCCTGTGCTTCTTCCCCCTTTCAGGAGTGACCTCTTTTGGGCTAAATACTAAGAGGCAATCTGTTCTCTTGCTCTAAAAATAAAGTGATTGCATCAGGGAGAAAAAGGTCTTATTAAGTTATTTGGATATGTATTTTAAATGGTTATAATCCAGATCAAAAACCTGCCCGAGAAATTACAGCAAATGCGCACTGGTTGTTCTCATTCCTATCTGAGGGAACCTTGCTGTCTGATGGGTCACTGTCACCATCCTTACTGATCTTTTTGTCAGATGTCACCCTGCCCTTCAATCAAGTCATGATCACTTTATTTTTATTTGTTTATTTATTTAAAAACTCTTTTTAAAATAGATTTTATTTATTTGAGAGAGAGAGAGAGCATGAGTTGGGGGGAGGGGCAGAGGGAGAGGGAGAAGCAGACTCCCCGTGAAGCAGGGAGCCCGACGCGGGGCTCAATCCCAGGACCCTGGGATCATGACCTGAGCTGAAGGCAGACGCCTAACCGACTGAGCCACCCCGGCGCCCCAAGTCATGATCACTTTAAATCAGCGGTGGGCAAATTTTCCTGCCAAGGGCCAAATAGTAAACACTTTCAGTTTCGTGGGCCAGGCGGCTTGTGTCACAGCCACTCAGCTCTGCAGTCAAAGCGCAAGAGCAGCCAACACCAGCGGGCACACAAATGAGCCTGGCTGTAAGCCAATAAAGTTTTATTTACAAAAACAGGTGGCGAGCGGGATTTGGCATGCAGGCTGTAAGTTTGCCAATCACTGACTTAAAATTGTTGATTCGGGGGAAATAAAAAATGGTGTTTGACTTCGACTCCATTTTGGTTCACAGCCACAGTTAGAAAAAATTATTCACGTGGTGACATTTAATCCGTGCAGCAAATGCAATTCCAAACCGTTTCGGGATGAGCAACATAGCAAATCTTAAAGCACATTTTCATCAAATTGGCTTTGCTAAACCCTCTTTTGTGTGGCTGCACCTCAAGCCTAAGTGGCATCTTCCCGTGTTCCTTTCCTTCCCTCTTAACTTGGGTGCATTTCACCCCCTTCCTCCACCAAGGCCTGAGGAAGGCCAGCAACCACTAGCTTGAAAGCCAGCACCAGAGCAAAGCTGGTTTTGTTTCGTTTGTATATGTAGCAATATTAGAACACTTATTTCCTTAAATTCCATTTTTCTTCTTTTTTTTTTCCCAGTGGGTAATATATTCCAGTGGTTCAGAAATCAAAAGGTGCAAAATGGTATGCAATGAAAATGTCTCTCCCTCCCACAGGTCGGTGACCTTCCCCGAATACTCCCAGCATCATTTCTTTCTTGTTTATCCGTCCAGAAGATACGTTTTATGCATGTACAAATATATGCATATATGCCTTGGATTTGATTTTAACAACCTCAACATTTCTCTAGTTTTTAAAAAAGATTTTATTTTTGAGAGACAGCATGCGCGCGTGAGGGGGGTTGCAGAGGGGCAGAGGGAGAGGGTGAGTCTCAAGCAAACTCCTCGCTGAGCACGGAGCCCGACGTGGGGCTCGGCCTCACGACCCTGAGATCACGACCTGAGCCGAAACCAAGAGTCAGACGCCTAACTGACTGTGCCACCCGGGTGCCCCAACATTTCTCTACTTTCGATTTATCTATAAAAGATCCTGAAGCCCCAGAAGTATGGAAACCCGTTTCTTGAACTCTAGCATGGACGGGGCTAAAAGCAGTTGTGGGCAGATTTTGAAATTGAGTTGTGGATTTGTTGCCTTCTGCCCTTTGACCTTTAATTGTACTTTTCCCACCTCAGTGTTGTGTTGTAAAGCTCAGCTTGCAGTAACAGGCTCTGAGGGGGACTCACGAATTATAGCGAAATGGACTTTAGAAAAGTATTCATCAGCGAATGTCAAAAGAGTCAAATGTTGATGTTTGGTTCCTTTTATTTGCAATGTACAAAGCTGACAGCATGCTTATTACTCAGGAGGTGAAGGTAACAATAATTCAGATTATACTGATTATGCTTTCTCTGTGTTGGCCTGGTTTACATAATATTTAAGGAAAGAGAATCACCTGGAAGGAGTTGCCTCATGTTAACATAGCTAAGTATTCTGGGAAACTGATAATCAGAGGAAATGGTTAAAACACATCCCCCTGCAGAGAATATAATACACTTTATAGTCAACTCAGTCTTGCTTTAGGTCTGCCAACTGCTAAGGAGAGGAGTGTGCTAGATTTGTATGAGGTTTAACAAAGTATTAAAATAGTTTAACAGGTTACCTGTGAAAGAGCAATTGGATGGACATTTTAATGGCAAGTCTCTAACAACAGCCTCAGAACGCAAAGGACCCGACACACCGTGGCTTCGATTTGCCCCACCGCACACATCTGGATGGCATTTGGAATAAACAGGGACCTCTGAGAAACTGGGAAGAGGGTTTTGCCTCGTTTTGTTCCTGGAGTCAAAAGCAAAATTCACACCTCCTTACCCATCCCCCTCCCCGCCCCCCAGCCTGGGAGAAAGGGGTGTGGGGTTCTCATTTCCCTTTCTGGGCCCCGGCTGCGTTCCGTGCCTCCCCTGCTCAACTCTGGACCAGGCCAAGTCCTAGGTCTCTGGCTGGGGAGGGAGCCAGCAAGGAGGAAGTGATTCGTTGGGCACCATCGGAAGTTAACGAGCCCCCTCCTGAAGCACTCTGGGGCCCAGCCGCGCTCATTCTCGAAGGAATCGGAGCGCACCCCGGGCTGCCGGACAAGTTTCTTTTCTGAACGTGGAAACACCGGCTTCTGGTTTAGGCCAAAGAATGTGTGGTGACCTCGGAGTCTAAGAAAGCAGTCGCCCAGCAGGTCTTTCCGAGGCAGCCGTGAATAAGCATGCGAACCTCCGAATCCAGCGGCAGCACCAGGTTGAAGTGGGACAGCCGACCTCAGGAGGGCGGGCTCACCCATCGCGCCGGACGGTCTGGCTGACCAGTGCCCAGCAGCCCAGCCCGCGGGAGACTTGACAGAGGGGCACCCGGGCATGGGGCCTTCCTTCTTCAGCTCGTCCGGGGCTGTGAGGGGCCCGCTGTGTGGGGGAGGGGCGGGCAGGGGGCAGGGGGGGGCAGGTGCCACCCTACAGGCTTTTCATACACACCTGGCAGCGGCTGACCCGGGTGTGGAGCCGCCCGGCCTTGAGCGTTTCCGATACCGGTTCCTCCCTAAACTGCTGCCTCTCTTCCACCGCCGTCAGCCAGAAACTGTACTTGTTGGCAAAGTAGTGGCAGGTGCCCCGGGCCCCACTGCACTCGATGAAAGGAGTGGCTCGGAAATCCTCCAGGCAGGAGCCCGGGGAGACCAGGGCCTGGCCGCCGCCCTCGGCGCCCGCCGCAGTGTGCTGCAAGACACGGTCAGCGCGTGGGCTGTGCGGCCGCGGGAGCTCCGGCGCCTCGGCTCAGCCCCAGCATCTAGCCAGCACCCCCAAAGCTCACATTACAGGACCAGGGGCTGCTCGTCCTCGGGGCCAGGAGCGTCCCCTCCGAGCTCCCCAAGGGCCCTCCTAACCCACCGCGCTTGGGCAGCGGGGACCTCTCGGCTAGAGTGTCCCCCCCCCACCCCCCCGCCAAACTGCCCGTGTCCCGCCGAGTTCCGAGGCCTGTTCGGGGGCTCCCTGCCGATCCCCGCGGGCAAGTAAGTCTGAGAAAGGCTGGGTGAAGGCAGACTCAGTAGGTTTGAGGATGCGGGACTTCTCCGAGCCCAGGTCTACTCCAAGCCCTTGGTGGTGACCCCCAAGAAGAGAAAGAGCACGCCTGGAACCCCACCAAGTGGCTAAACCCTGGGCCCCTCCCCCAGCCTATCTATGAATAGCGCTGGCTCTGCAGTTACCTTCCTCAGAACTTCTTACGTTTTCCATCTGTACCACACCCTTCAGGGCAACAGAGAGCGTTTGTTGCTTGCTGCGTACAAGAGGGCTTCGTATGTGGCCTAGTGTCCCGGCCCTCCCGTCAGGGCCCCTTCAGCATCCAATGGCAGTGCCATTCATTAGCCCATAGTCTCCAGTCACTGTACCCACAGACAGCAGTTCCGGGTCTCTGCACTCCCCACCCCCTCTCCCTTCACAGCAGCGGGGGTATTAGCTGGACCACAGGGGGTGAGGAAGAGGCTTCATCCCCCACCCCCCCGGGTCAGCAGATGGCCAATGGGACAGATGCCCAAGTTGGACGCTCAGGGATGGCTTGCTTTACAGAACTCCGGGAGGGTTAGTCTCCCTGTAAGGGATCTTTCCTGACAAATGAAGCACCAAAGTTTTCCTCATTTGGATCCTCAGACAGAACACTTTCTGGAACAGACGACACACCTCCCTGCCTTGCTAAATGGCAGACGTTGCGTCTTTTACACTTTGCGCAGGACTCAGGCTTATTGTTGGGAATGTTGCTTTTTGTGTTGGGCAGTTGTGTCCCCATACCAAGGGACACAACTTGTAGAGTTCTTAGGCCACCTTTGAATCATTTTCTCTTTTCTCCTTCTTATAGGCATGTCTTATAGCTCCAAGATGCCATATTAGGCAGTCCAAATTCCCACCCTTACAGGTTTTCAGGAAAATATGGATATTCTAGAATGTTAGAATTCTGTGTAAAGTAAGAGTAAAGAGATTGTGACTAAGGACATAAGAGTGCTCCCGGGAGCAAGACCCATGCGATTTTGTACAACTTTTTTACCATCGCCTGTGGAAGCTCAGGGGCCTTTTCGACTCGTTTCCTGGTCTGGGTGGTGGATGGGACAGAATGAGAGGTGAGGCGATTCTGTATTACTTGGGGATAAACGGCCCGATTCCACAAAGAGAGCAAAACAAGGAAGTAACTCATCCCAGGCAGGTACACCAATGTGAGGAGGCCTAAGGCTTTGGTAATTCTTCAAAGACGCTTTCTCATCATCTCACCCCCGGCGATTTAGCAAGGAAGCTCTGGCGAGGCAGGGTACTTCAGCGGGTGCCACCCTCGTGTTCCCTGGGAGCGATTCTGGCCCGAAACCTGAGCTTTCACTCATTGAATGTCCCCACCCCACCCCCCGATAGTCACGCGGGATGGCGTGTGAGGGACTTGATGCCTCTTTGGGCTTGCAGACGTTCTCAGCTCTTTCCTAGCAAGATGTACAGCCTTCCCACGGCAACGGGTAGCAGCAGCAAAGATCCCAGCAAGGATGTAGAAACACAGCGTGCCCTCATCTGAGCCTTTCAGGAGGATATGAAAGGTGGCCGGAGGGACCTGGGACGGTGGGCAGAAGAGGAGGGGCGCCCATGCCCAGCCTGGGCAATGAAGAGTGTGTCCGGCCTTGAGTGGGGACAGCCTCTCCCTCACTGTCCCCCGGGATCGGGTGTCACCTCCCTCCCTCGCTTGTGGCATACCTGAAGCTGGCATGGAGACCTTAGGGCCTCTGCCAGTGATTCATATTCTCACCCCGGGACTCTCTGGGTGCAAACTGCTCCTTTCTACTCAGCCTCAGAATTACCCCCCATCATTCATGCAGGACTGGGCCAAGGTCAGGCCAAGCCTCTTCCTTCTTTTCAAATTCCGTGGTTCCTACCTCATGTCACTTGGGCCTGCGAGCCCGACTGAGGGACCCTCCCAGGGCTTCCCCCGCTTCCCCGCCGCCCTCTGCCTCTACACTGGGGGAGGGGGCAGGGCAGGGCCTCACCATGAGGAAGGAGTATCCGATCCAGAGGCTGCGCCAGCCCAGGGGGCACTGCGGGATGGTGACGTCCTGGCTGTGCACGGCGATGGCCTGCGAGGGCGCCTCGCACACAGAACAGCGGCTGATGTACTGGGGGATCTGGGCCTGGCCGACGGGCATCATGGGAATGGGGGCAGTGGTGGAGAGCCAGTAGGATTTATCGTTGCGCCCGGCGTAGTGGCACACCTCGTCGACGTTGCAGTAGATGAAGGGCATGGTGCTGAAGCGGGGCAGGCAGGAGCCAGCAAAGCCTGGAAGGAGAGCAGGTGGGCAGGGGCTTTGGTGTAAGGTGTGGCTGAGAGGCGGGGCTGAGACTGTCCCCAGCGCCACTAGGGCTGGACGGGCCGGGCTGGCATCCAATCGCTTGTCCCAGAGCAGGGACGACCCTCCTTCCAGGCCTGGCACATGGTACATCCACTGGCGTCTGTTGGTCAAATCCTATTTTCAACTCACCAGGGAAGTTTGAGAATGAAAGGGATCTTTGTATAAGCCGCATAACGACTCCCTAATTAATCTGTGGTGTAAAACTGGCATTTAATAGAGCGAGTCTGTGGTTCGGAGTCGGCACACCTGTAGACAATACAATTAATTCCTGGGTAATTGCTGTTGCCTCACAGGTCATATTATTATTATTACTCCTGCTAATCGCTAATGTGTAATGGATGCTTAACATGCCAGACATTGTCCTAAGCGTTTTCCGTCGGGTGATTCATGTAATCCTTACAATCCTTATGCCTCTGAGATAGGTACGAGCATTAGCTTCGTTTCCATTTAAGGAGGAAGTGGAAGCTCAGAGGGGCCGAGGAGTTCGTCCAGGGTCCCCCGCCTGTAAGTGGGAGAGCCAGGGTTTAAACCCAGATCCACCTGATGCAACAGCTGGTGTTCGAACCCGGCTGCCCAACAGTGGGCCCGCCCCGGGCCGGGAGGACCAAGGAGGGGAGCTCTTGATCCTCCTTGGGGGTGGTGGTGGGGGGCGGGGAGCGGGGTGGAGGATGGCCAGGGCTGGTGTCAGAGCCAGTACTTACCCAGGTCCTGGTTGTGGGCTTTCTCCTGCCCCTCCACGAACAGCAAGCTGTAGCCCACCCACAGCCGGCTCGTCCCGACGGGGCACAGGGGCACCTGTTCCGACTGGCTGTGCTTCACCAACGTGTACCCCACTCTCACGCTCTGCCCGGGCACTCCACCCCTCCCGAAGGGGCCCTTCTTCCCTGGGGCGCCTGAGAGGGAGAGAGCGGGAAAGGGGGCTGAGCCGCTCATAAGGGCAGCTACAGACTTCGTGCCGAGCCCCGAGCGCGGCACACCGCATGGCTCACTGGATCCTCACAGCAACATGATTACCCCGGCTGGCAGATAAGGGAACAGGCCCACACGTGCCGTAGCCCGTGGAGCTGGAATGCCAACTCAGGTGTATCCAGCAGCAGAGTTCCTATTTGAAAAGGCGTGCTGCCCAGCTCCCCTCGCACTGCCACCTGGCCTCAGGTCCTCTATGAGGGGATCTTGCAGGCTCTCCCAGGACATAACCGAGACCCTGCTGAATCAGAGGCAGCAGAAGCAGAATTGGGACTAGCGGGGCAAAAATCACACCCACTCTCCTGCCCACGGCAGACGTGGCTAATGTAATCGCACCCCTTTTCCACTGAGCCTCAGAGCCGTTCTCTACGCAGGACAACTGATTTGCCATCTCCACTATCAAATGGGAGGTAAGTAGCGGCCATTCCTCATCTCAGACTTTCTTATGCCTTGAACCGCCCCCTTCCCATCCATGTCAGAATCCCAGGGTGGAAGAGGGGAGGTGCAGGGCCAGGGGCCAGGCTAGAGGACAGTCATAGCTCTCCCGAGAGCTGGGAGAGAACCCAGAGAAGGATTTGGAAGGAGTCCTTTGCCTTCCAGAAGGTGGGGCTCTCATCCTTCCTAGGCTCAGAGGTGGGGTGGGAGCGAATGGAATGCAGTCTGGTTTTCCAGGCTCCTACTAGTGTCAAGCTTTACTGCCCGGTTTCCTGTTTCTCAGATTTGAGATTTGGGCTCATTCCAAAGCCTCCCATCCTCACGGAAACCCTCTGCCCCCCGGGGCTGACATCACCAGACCTTCAAATCCTGGAGGGCCTTGCAGTCCGGGGAGACCAGGGTCACCAAGAGCCCCAGGCGGGCCGGGGAGTCCGTTGAGACCATTTTTGCCAGGGATGCCAGGGAAACCTTTGGAGCCTGCAAGGGGAGAAGGCCGGCAGCTCAGACTCCGTGTGGGAGGTCCGTGAGAGCAGGCCCCAGAGGAAAAAAGGACTCGTGTGTCATGCCCAGGACTTACCAGGAGAGGGCGCAGTGGTCACCATTTTAGAGCACTCAGGCTGAGCCTCCTGGGCTAGTCCTTAGCTGGAGTCCCGAGTCCGGGCACATCTGTCCTGGGACCACTGCTCTGCCCTTAGCCCTTCTGAGCCCCGCTCACACCTATTTCTCCCCCCCTTCCTCTCATCCTCCCAGCAACGCCCGGAATGCACAGAAACTGTCAGAGTCCCACGTCAGAGATGAGGACACCTGGGCCCGGAGAGACTACTCACCTGAGCTGGTGCATCAGCTGGGATTAGAAGCTGGGTTTCCCGGGCCTCCCAGCCCCGGGCTTTGTCCCTGGCTCTTGATCCCCCACCGCACTCCCTCCTTCCCTCGGCGGCACATTAGAGAGGGACGCGCTGCCCAGAGTAGTCGCTCTGCTCTGCGCACACATTCTCTAAAGCCAAGTACATCTGCTGACCTAGCTGGCCCTCCTTCCCGGCAAGAAGCTCAGGGGCTTTTGTGAAGGAAAGGAGGCAATGCCCCATGAAGGTGCCCCCTCGGAGCTGGAGATCCCAGCCACTTGCTTCAGCCTCTCAGCCAAGGCCGTCTTAGCTCCGCCTCCCACCCGAGAAATCCCCTGTCACTGGTGCTCTCCTTACCTTGGAGGCCGACAGGGCCTTGAACCCCAGGGTCTCCTGTAAGACCAGGGATGCCATCAATGCCTGGTAGACCCATGGGTCCAGGAGGAACCTGGACAGCTTCTGCAATTGGTGTTTGTCCAGGAGCACCTCGGGGTCCAGAAAAGCCTGGGGGTAAGTGGAGGAGATGGAAATATCAGGTGGGGGCAAAGGAGGCAACTGGCATGGGGCCCCAGAAGCCCGCCTTTCTACCCGGCAATTGCCCGCTTTCTGCCTCTGCCTCTGTCTGCCTCCACAGTCCCCAGTGGATCCCTCCAGGATGACTGTCACCGTGCTTTACGTGATGTCCTCTTTACCCACCTACCTCCCCAGTGAATTGGTGGCATCTTGAAGGCAGGGAATGGGTTACATTCATCGCGTTTCCTCAGGGCCCGGCAGAGGGCCTGGGACATGGTAGACAAGTCAGGACGTGACTGTGGCAAATGAGGTGGGCTGGGCCTTTGTTCGGGGCTGGGGTCGCTGGTTCACTCCCTCACTGGTCAGAGCACAGCGCCAAGGAGGCCAAGGGGAGGCGTCCTCGGAGGTTTAGCGGGCACCACGGCCTGGGACCTTGAGCCTGGCCTGCCGGTTTACTCATAGCCACATGAGCCAATTTGCTTACTAATTCATCGACCAAATATTTCTCAAGTGCCTACTACGTGCCACACCCTGGTAGACTGAGGGATGGAGCAGTGAATAAGACAGACCGTTGTGGAGACTACGGTCCGTTGATAGAGATGGAAGATGCATGACCTGACAAATACCGTTCGTCCTCCTGCAAGTTGTGAGAAGTGCTACAAAGGAAATGAACAGTGCAGTGACAGTGACACGGACGGTGACAGTGAGCCGAGGGGGCTCTGGGGTGGAGAACCGGCTTGAGAAAGAGGGGATAAGTGGCCTCTTACAAGCAGTGACATTTAAGCTGAGACCATTAAAGAGTTTGAAGGAGTGGGGGTGGAGGGGAGGGCAAGAGGACTCTAGGAAGTAGAACTCTCCTGTGCAAAGGCCCTGGGGTCAACCAGGTTGGCTAAATGAAAGAGGCGGGTGTGGCAAAGAAGGGGAACAGAAAAGAGGAAGGGCTGATGATGAGGATGAATTGGGAGGTGTCCCCTGGGACTTTGGGAGCCACAGTTTATTGCTCTGCTATGGGAAGCCAGTGGATGACTTATGGCTTAAAAGGTCTCTCCGACTGCTTCGTGGAGAAATGATTGTTGGGGGAGCTGCCCAACGGGGGAGGAAGCTGGGAGGCCCGTTAGCAGGTGGCTGCCGTGATTCCTGTGAGAACCAGCGGTGCTCTGGACCCGGGTGGCAGCAAGGGAGGTGCTGAGAGGTGAGCAGATGCGAGGCGCATCAAGAGGAGGCAGCCCGCGGGGCTTGCTAACAGGTTGGGGGTGCGTGAGGGGCTGGCGGTAAAGGATAGAAAGGGTCCTTCTTCATTTCCAGAATTGAGCCCGTGGGTAAGTGGCGATGAGTGCAAACCAAACCGAACGTGCCCACCAAGGCAGAAGGCATGCAGAGGGGAGATCAGTAGCCGGCCCCATGGTGGCAGTGGCCTTCAGTCCCAGGAGCTGCCAGAGGCAGAGATGTCCCCAAGGCCCGTCCCCCGGGATCGGGTGTCACCTCCCTCCCTCGCTTGTGGCATACCTGAAGCTGGCACGGAGACCTTAGGGCCTCTGCCAGCGATTCATATTCTCACCCCTGGACTCTCTGGGTGCAAACTGCTCCTGTCTACTCAAGCCTCAGAATTACCCATCATTCATGCAGGACTGGGCCAAGGTCAGGCCAAGCCTCTTCCTTCTTTCCAAATTCTGTGGTTCCTACCTCATGAACCACGGTTATGTCCCTGGAGGAACTTCCTGCTGCTGCCTCAGACACCCAGGCTTTCCTGGTGTGGTGAGCAGTAACTCCTGTGGGCACGTGACCCCCAGACCTGTCCCTCGAGCTCAGGATCAGCCGGGCGTGTGCTCTCAACTCACCTCTGGGCCCTGCCTTCCCCTTCATTCCGGGAAGTCCTGGGTCTCCGGGTGGCCCAACCTTGCCTGGAATCCCCATGAAGCCAGGCTCGCCTCTCACGCCTGGCAAAGTCCAAAGGAGAGCAAGTCAGGGCCTGGCACGGTGGGGCGGGTGAGGGGTGGTGGGGTGAAGACGAGGCAGATTTGAGGGCGGGAAGAGCACCATCAGCGGGCCTCTCTTCACGGGGCTGCGGGAAGGGGCTATGTCTAACTGTGGAGTGGGAAAGGGCCCAACCACCAGCCGAGCAGCCATACCTTTCAGTCCTAGCTCTCCAGGGAGGCCGGAGAAACCTGGAATTCCTTGGTCTCCCTTGGACCCTTGAGGGCCAGGAACTCCAGGGAAGCCGGGGTCTCCAGGGTCACCTTGATCGGAGGACGGCCCAGGGGGCCCCGGGGGCCCCGGGGAGCCTGGGCGGCCTAAGGATAAGATCAGAAGAGGAATGAGGGCGGGTGAGCAGGACGTGGCCACTGCTGAAGGCCTCAGCGCTGCTAGGAAGCCAAAGCCTGTTTCCCAGGGCAGAGAACGTTCCCTTGCTGTATGTGGGGTCCCAGGGCCTGGACCTTCCTGAACGCTCTGAGCAAATGCAGCCCGTTCCAGTCCCCTGTGTCCCTGCTGGGGGAGGGATGTGAGGCCAAGCAGGCCCATGCCTGTCCAGCAGTAGGAATGGGGCCGGACTGTATTAGGACCGCTCCCAAATCCGGACGAAAGGTGAAGGCCAAACCTCTTGCGGGGGGCTTCCTGTCTTACCTCGCTCTCCATCTAGGCCTGGTCGCCCAGGGTCGCCAGGCTGTCCCACTATGACTGAGGGCAAGGAGAGGCCTGGGGCACCGGGCAGACCAGCAGGGCCCTGGAGACCTGGGAAACCTGCAAAGAAGAAATAAAAAGGGGCCGCTATGGGCTTGGTGTGGCCAGGCTCTCCCAGAGAAAGTGGAAGCGGTTAGGTAGGGGCCAGACCGGCGAACGCCAGCAGAGGGCTCTTCTCCCGTCGGTCGGTCGGTCGGTCGGTCGGTCGGTCGGTCGGTCGGTCTCCCTTTGCAGCCAGCCGAGGAGCACAGCCCACACGAGGTCCCAGTGACTCCCTGTTCCGCCCCCCCCCCGCCCCACGCACCCCCCTCCACCCCCCAGCAGGTGCCGCAGTTCCTCCTCGGGAGGGAGCTTTGGAAAGTTCTAGCTTCCAGTGTCACTGGAAATGGAAATATTTCAGACAGATTTCCCTCAAATGGGGAAGAAGGCATGACTGCAACATCTGTAACTGAAGTTTCTTTAAAGTGTTTTTTAAACCTTCTGGCCCTGTGGGCACGTTTTCACTGAATTAGCCAGTTATGTCTGGGGCTGCCCAGAGGAGGTATGAGGGCCGAGGTGGGGCACGAGCTCCAGCCAGAAGAGCCGCGTGCTGGGTCCGAATGCAGGCCCCAAGGGCAGTACGGCTCCTGGTGTCTCCTAGGGCTAGTTTCTGGGTCTTCTAGGCAAACTGGGAAAGGCTTTGACAGGCACTCGGTGATATCAGCTGGCTGCTTGCTTAATTGCCTATAGAACAAACTTCTCTATACCACATCCCGCCCCCCCCCTTTGGTCAAAGAGAAAAGCTATTTATTAGAGTAGATACAGCATACCTGTCTGCTCCGATATTTTTTACTTCTTTTCTGTTTGTGGAACGATTTCTACTATAACGTTCAAAACCAGAAAATTTCAGCTGATTACACAAGATTTATTGAATATGCATATGAAGACATACATGGAATCCTGATGGGAAACCACATCAAAGCCACATGTAAAATGTCAAAGTCCATCTTATACTTGTAGCATGAAAGAAATGTACTTATTATTTTGGCATATTCTAGAATACATTCCAATGACGAGAAATAGATTCCTACTGGTTGAAAACTATTCTGGTGGTCGAGATGATTCTTTGTTTGTTTGTAACAATAAAATCCAAAAATACTAATGTTGAATTTTTATTTTTCTGATGAAGAAAGCCAGAAATATTAATGTGGAACTTATTGTATTCTGTTAAAGAAATAGTAAATCCATAAAAATGCGTAAAGGAAGATGGCGGACTGGTGAATTCCGGTGGTTTTTACAGCTCATTAGTGAACTGAATGCAGAGGAAACATAAAGAATAAAAAAGTAAATTTCAAGAAAAGACTCCAATTATTATAGGTCTGGAAACGAAACAAAAGAAAACAAGAAAAACAAGTTGTTAAGCCACGTGGTGTTACTTTTAGGTATGGTCAGTTATGTCTTGATGAACCTTTCAAGTATTTTTCTTTGTCACAAAGGTAAACATCTGAACAGAAAGACATATTGTGTTTTTTCCTGAAAATATAGCTTTATATATACACATACGTATATTTTTATATATACATATAAAATATATATATGGTGAAATGAAGCAAAAAGCAATAAACAAGATACCAGATGGTGCTGTGGGCAGCACACAGAGTATAAAAAGCTCCCATAGTAGTTTTTGGAGCTGCCTTCTCTTTTTATCTGTTTTTTGAGTTTAGAATTGTACCAATCTAGCATTAAAACTGAAATAAAGGTCCTCCTGATCTCAAGTAGTTAAAAAAAAAAAAAAAAAGCTCATGTATTTCTTTAAGAATGAGACACTTTAAAGGAACACATGAAAATGCCCAATGGCATGTTTTTCCAACTCATTTCAGTGTCTGAGACTTAAAAAAAGCTTAGATGCACAAATGCAGCCTCTAAATATCTAGTGCAAATGCGACAACGAAGGGTGTGATTCAAAGTTATTTAGATAAAGGTATTATAGGGACAGGGACTGCTTTAGGAAGTTTGCTTTGGGGTAAATCATTTTACACTGATTTCTATGATCGTAACAGAGTTAGGTTTCTATGGGGGGGGAAGATATTTGCTGCATACTTTTAAAACAACGTTTTAATTAAAATATTGAGAAGAGCAGAATATTTATAAATCGCAAGTAAAAACTCACCCAGATAACAATGAACATCTCTGTTCCCACCACCCAGTTTAAGACAAAGATGGCATTACCTTTGAATTTCTTTGCATGCCCTTCACAGATCCCTACCACCTTCCCTCCCTCTCAAGGGGCTACCACTCCTGAATTTTGTGTTTATCATTCCCACAGTTTGACCACACATATCTGTGTCCCTAAACGATATATTGCTTGTTTTCATTTATTTATAAACTTTAATCAGTGGAATCATACCCAACGTCTTTCTCTGCGACTTGGGTTTTGTTTTTGTTTTTTTTAAAATCAACATCATGTTCCTGAGATGTATCCATCTTCACATGTGTTGTTTACTACATTTTTCATTGTGATTTTGTTATTACCTCAGAGAGCAAAAGGAAATGGATAATTTAATGACCAGGCATCCATAGTCAAGATGGGAAACCATCTGGGTTTTGCTTCTGTCTGGGTCCCCTCTTTTCTACCTCCTGTGAAAGTAGCCACATTCTCTCCCTATGGGCTCAGACCCTGTGGGAGCCCCCACTCGGAAGAAGCTGCTGGCTTTCAGAAAAGAACAGGTTGGTCCCGACCAAAGGAAAGAGTAAACACAGAGAGAGCAGATGCACCAATATAAAATTCAGCAGAAAATGAATTAATGTAGAAATCAGTTCCTGGAAAACAGACACGCATTATACAAACATGCACATAAATTAGATGCGTGGGGACCTCAAGCTCCAGAACCATAACGGAGGAGCAGAACATTTTGCAAATAGGATTGCCCCGGGGAACACATCATGATATAACGGACAATGTTTCTTGAGCACCTACTATGTGCCAGGTGCTGCACTAAGTGCTTTTATACCTATTACCTCGCTCCTCATTGGTTCCTCACCAAACCTGTGTTCTCGACTCTCTTGTTATGCCCATTTTACAGAAAAGGAAAATGAAGGGTCCACTGGGGATTGAGGGGCAAGTCACTTCCTTGTTCAAGGTCATATAGCCAGTGAGGGGGTAAGCTGGAATCTGAATCCAGTGGTCTGACTTCAGAGCCCATACTCCTAGGTGTGATGCTACACTAAATTTGTTTCCTGTTTTACATCGAGTGCCATGTATCTGGTCTTCAGAACATTCGCAAGGAGAGGGAGAGACTCAGATTTCATTCTCGCCATTTGAATGGTGGGGAAAGGAAAGCTCGGAAGGAGGCTTCAGATGATATCATGAGTCAGGAGCCGAGATTAGGGCAAAACCTGCTTTCTAGTAAACCCCACAGATCCTAACTGAGTGCCTGTGAGTGTCTCTCCTAGGGAGACATTTATCCTCAGTCTTGGGCTCCTTCCGGCAGCCATGCTGTCTTAGATCCCTGGGAGTAGAGCGCCATCCACCCTGGATGCTGAGGAACTTCCGGCAAATCTCTTGCTAAGTGGACAAGCCCTGGACCTCAGGACCTTTCAAGTCAGGCCCTGGCCAAGGGCACAAGAGAGCCCCTGGGGTTAATAAGGGAGAGCAGGAGGGAATATGGAGGCTAGAGGGAGCTCACCGGACTGCTCCTTGACACACTTTCCGGGAAAGCCCTAGGCATGCCCCCCCCGCCTCAGCTGTCAGTTCCACTGGGTTCCGAGCTCCCCAGAGATGTGAAGACATGCACAGCTCAACCCTGTGAGCCACGTGGCCCTGAGGAGCCCCAGCCTTGGCTCCCCAGCTGGGCCTTACTCAGCTTCTATAAGGCCTGACTTGGGCTCACTTACCTCGGCCACCTTTTTGTCCTTTCACGCCTGGCTTCCCTGGGGTACTGAGGCCAGTTCCTGGAGAACCTCTTTCCCCTTTGGGACCAGGCAGGCCGGCTGGCCCAGGCACGCCGGTTATACTAGGTCCTAGGAGGAGGTGCAGACAGAAGAGGGACAAAACTCAGTGCGGGCGAGGCCCTCACGCCTAGCTCACGGGCTGGGGGCCTGCCTGACGCGCACCAGAAGCTGAGTCCTGAAGTAATCGGAAGGAGAGCTCATTCTGGGTAGAAGAACAAAGTCCTTCCCCCTTCCTCCTTCCTCCACAAATCAAGGCACCTCAGATAGGGGGCCTGGCAAGGAGATCTATGAGCTGAAGGATATGGGATACCCCACAGTTGAGAACCCATGGCCAGCCCCCTGCCAGCCTTCTGGAAGAGCCGATGCTCTCCTCCTTGACCTTGAGGGTCTTCCTTACCTGGAGTTCCATGGGTTCCCTTGGTTCCTGGAAGCCCATTCAGTCCATGTAAACCAGGAAGTCCAGGGAAACCTGAGGAGACAGAGTATCAGAAATGGCTCTGGCAACTTTGGAATCGTGAAGGGTCAGCCAAAGTTCCTGCCCCCCAGGGCCTTCCAAAGTCCTCATTTTAAAGGTCACGGTCTTTCTGGAGGCCTTACTTCATGCCCTAAGGGGGAGCAGACCGCTCCCTAACCTCCACCCTAGTTTTTCCTGAGTCTCATTAGAGACCCATACAGCTTTAAGAGCAGGGTGGTAGATGATTAGGTCTCTTCGAGGACGCAGCGAGCTGCCACCTCCCAGAGACTCGCTACCCAACCCTGAAGTCAGGGGAAGACTACGTGCGCCAGCACAACAGCCTGGCTCTCTAACTCTTCTCTCCATGGATTCCCTGTTCTTCTCTTCCCGTTATCTGTCACATGGCCAGTCAGTGACTCCCCCAGAAATGGCTTGCCCCCAGAGAGTGTCTCCTAATATAAAGGAGTTGCTGTCCTTTTTCTGACAGAAGAACCTCTTTCCCCACGGCCTCCTCTCAAATAGACATACCTTTGGTTCCCATTAGGCCAGAGGGTCCCAGGGGCCCAGTTGACCCTGGATGGCCTGGAGAACCCGGAAACCCTGGATTTCCTCTCATGCCTGCAATCCCGGGGAGTCCTGAAAGTGAAAGCAAGGCAGGAGCTCAGAATGGGCCATGGCTTGAAGCTGACCCTCACTTTTTCAGAATATAGTCGTTGGGTGGCACAGTACCTGGGGAGCCGGGAAGGCCAACATCTCCAGAAATACCAACATTCCCATCTTCACCTTTGCTTCCTGGGAAACCCACATCACCAACGAATCCATCTGTTCCTTTCTCGCCTACAACATCAAGAAAAATGCTGAGTGGTCGGGCCCCGTTTCGGGCACCGTGTTTTTCCCAGGGGAGGGGGAGCAGGAAAGGAAAGCTACTTGAACTGTCAAGAGAGCCTGGTCCAATGAAAAACTCTGAAAAGGATGGTAATAGAAGACCCGTCTTTGCATTTGCAAGGTGCTGCCCGCTAAGGTAAGTAAACGTGTTCTGCGTGCCCCCATAAGGAGGAACAATGGGTGGAAATGGGTGGAAATGTTCGAGAACCAGTTTAGATAATTATAAACTGAGGAAGTGGATGCCATTATCCCAAAGGTCTTATTCGACTTAACTCATGAGTCTCAAAGGAAAAGTAGACTGGTTTGCTTGGGGAAACCGTGGGCTGCCTATGAGTGGATACGTGTCAGGGTAGGAATTTCTTTGCACTGGAAAGAAGTTACAGAACTCGGGGTTGACCTCCCCAATTCCTCCTGATCCTCAGTTTTGAGGAGCTTGTGAGACACGTGAGATAAAAGGACAGTAGACTTACCTTTAAAACCGGACTCCCCAGGTTGTCCCTTGGGTCCTGGGCTACCGGAAATTCCAATTGTCTGACCTTGATCTCCTGGGGATATGAAGATATTGTCCAAGTGGTCAGGAGAAGCTAGAGCTCATTTTGCAGCAAAGAGATCTTTTGATGGCCAAACCTTTTCAGATTCAACGTAGCCAGAGATCTTTGACAAAACTACGCATTGGGTAAAAAGTGACCAATCACCAAAAAAAGGCTGGGATGTTATCAGGCTACTGGCAAGAAATGCTGCTACGTGAAGCATATCTCCATTGGGAAGACATCGCTAGGTTCAGTATGGGCAGAGAAGATGGGAGGAGGGGTGCTAAAACATCACCAGAATGGAACAATGATGATGGCAAGTAGGGGAAATTTTCCCACCCCGTGGGCTGGGCTCAGCAGGGAAAAAGACTGTCTTGAGCCGAGGCCCTCTTCTGCTGCTGAGTTTGGAAGGCAAGTGGGTCAAACCACTGTTTGTCACACGTCTTTGAGGAGCAAAGCCCTTTGCAAAGGGGTCTTGGCCAAAGGGGAAGGGTAAACCAATTCACTTCCCCTTGAACACCGAGTTTCCTTCCCCAAGAACCCTGAGCCTGCTAGAAATGCACCTTGCTCTGGAAACACCCATTAAAAGAGAAAATGCTCCTCACCTTTTTTTTTTTTAATTATTATTATGTTCAGTTAGCCAGCATATAGTACATCATTAGTTTTTGATGTAGTGTTCAATGATTCACTAGTTGCGTATAACACCCAGTGCTCATCACAACATGCACCCTCCTTAATATCCATCACCCTGTTACCCCATCCCCCCACACCCCTCCCTTCTGTAACCCTCAGTTTGTTTCCTGGAGTCTCTCATGGTTTCTCTCTCTCTCTCTGATTTCTTCCCATTCAGTTTTCCCTCCCTTCCCCTGTGGTCCTCCGCGCTATTCCTTATGTTCCACATACGAGTGAAACCATATGGTAATTGTCTTTCTCTGCTTGACGTATTTCACTTAGCATATATACAATGGAATATTACTCAGCCATCAGAAAGGATGAATACCCCCCATTTGCATCGACATGGATGGAACTGGAGGGGATTATGCTCCTCACCTTTTGAACCTGGGAGACCAGATGTTCCTGGGAGTCCGGGAGTTCCATTGAGACCCTTTGAACCCTTCGAAAAATATGGAAATCATTGTTTCTGCCCGGAGCTCAGGGCCTCCCACGCTCTCACCGCCCCCCCCACAAACCATTGCCTGAGAGAGGTCTATTGTGTACGCTGTGGCAGGGGTGGGTGGGTTGGAGGGGGCATCCTGTGGAAGGGAAGGTGATGAGCCGAAGGTGGAAAAACATAGTCAGGGTTTTTAGGGGAGGGACTCTATCTGCAGATTAATCCTGGTCTCGTCATTCATAACTTCCCAATGGCTATCAAAATGAGAATCTTGGGAAATCAAGGTATGGCTGTTGTAGCAAGTCTCTTTGAAAATACAGGACGTGACCGTCCGGCCGGATTCTTGGTGGTGTGCTCTGCAGACAGTCGGCTAGCGGCACCCATGCCAAAGCTCCAGAGCCACAAAGCACAAGGAAAAGGACTGCTTCACCGGGCAGGGCGACAGCCCTCAGCTGCGAGTCCTGCAAGCTTCGGGTCCCTGCAAGGAACCACGTAGCGGGTTGGATGTGCGCAGGTCCTGGAGTCTGCGTTTGGGCTGATGTTACCATTTTCACAGGAAAAACTGCCTTGACTGACTCATGTCCAGCACTCTGTCTGAGTCTGGGACGTGGGCGTGTCAGCTGCCATCAGTCCAGTGACTCCCCCGGGAGCTGGTGTGGTTTTGAGTTGCGGAGCCATCCGTAGTAAAGACGTACACTACCTAGTGCCTTGCGTGGGAGTCTGAGTTCTGGGCCGGGTCTCTGTGTTCGCTGACCTCCCCACCCTGGATCCCTCCTACATTTGCCTGGCTTTTCCCACACATTTGGGTTATCTGTTCATTCTGAGCCTTTGCTCACGCTGGGACCCCTCCCAGAATGCTTTCCCACTTTGACTCCATCCCTCCTAGGGCAGGAGGGGTCAGGACCATCCAGCTAAGAATACTTTCTTTTGCAGTTGCTTCTGGGATATGTGTGTGTGTGTGTGTGTGTGTGTGTGTGTGTGTGTGTGTGTTCTCTCCACTCTCCATCAGATGGACTGATGCTTTTAGAGGGACAGGGACTTTGCCTGCAGGGAGCACAGGCATTCTGGGATCCAGTTCATTCGGTCCCTTCAATACTGCTACTATGACGGCTACTACTTATCGAGAGCCCACCATTTGCCAGATACCAAGCTAAGCGCTTTATGCGGATTAGCGCGTTTAATCCTCACTGCTGTCCCGAAGGAGGTTTGAGGATCATTCCCGTTTTGTGCAGATGAGGAACGCGAGGCTCAGGCAAGGTAAGCGATATGCACAGAATCACAGAGCTGATGAGCGGGGGGCAGAGATCTGAACCGGCTCCGTCTCGTGCCTATGCCTATTCTGTTGCCCTGCCTTTGAAGAACCCAGACAAGCTGATTTGGTTATTTGCCACTTGTCAACAATGACCTTTCTGAAATCACAGCGTCAAGAGGCCTGTACCAAAGTCTTACGATGTGCCTAGCTCAAGGGCGGGGGCGGCGACGGGGTGCGGACTTCTAGAAGAACGTGTAAGGACTCGTTCTCAAGGCCTGACAATCTCGTTGAGGAAATCAGGCCCACACAGAACCAATTGGGATTCATATAAGCAGTGAGAAGTGCAGCATGCCTGCAGGGTGGGAGCTCTGAGGCTACTGGGGGAGTGGGTGCCTGGGGCTGGGGCCCAAAGCACGGGTGGGCATTAGCCAGTTAGTTGCAGAGGAGGAGGCTCTGCCCTGTGGGGGAGAGAGCATGAACAAAGGCCCAGAGGAAGGAACCTTCAGGAAAGGGGTGGGGGAAGACCTGCCAGACCCCTCCCCCAGCAGGGAGAGGGCTTCATCTAGGGTGAGCTAGGGGAAGGGGCCGGGAAGCGGGCTGGGGCCAGAAAGATGGGGCGCAGGGGCCTGTCCCCCTGCTACGGAGGTCCTTCCCTGGTGCAGAGACCAAGAGCTGGGTGCACTTACGCTTTCCCCTGGTATTCCTGGGAAACCTGTGATTCCAGGGGACCCCTTCAGGCCAGGTAAGCCCCGTTGTCCTGCGGAGCCAGGGAGACCTGCTCTCCCAATGAGTCCCTTGATGGTACTGGGGAAGCCGGGAGCTCCAGGCAATCCTGGTGGCCCCGGGGGGCCAACCTCTCCTTTGTCACCTGGGAAAGAAGTAAAGGGCTTAGAAAAAAGACCCTGGGCAAGAGCAAACCTGCTCCCCAAAGGTGCAGGACCCTGGATCACAGGCAAACAAAGTGTAGCCTTGGGCACTTGGGGATGGCTAGCTGGGGGCGGGGGGGCGGTGTGAAGGTGTGGGTGGGGGAGGTGCCTTCAGCCTTAGGGGGCACCAGTCAGCACCACCCCGGCTCAACACTGCCAGTGCCCATGTCCCAGCATCTGCCAGGATTCTCCGGGGGAATAACAGGGGTACCACAGCCTGTGGTTCAAAACTTCAGTTCCAGAGTGGCAATGAAAAGTGGCAGCCTTGAAGTCCAGACACCCCTCAGGCCCAGAGAAGGCAGCCTCCTTGGACCGCCTGCTGCCACCCACACTGCCACTTTGCGGGGGGGGGGGGGCGTCTTGTGCTGCGGGGCCTTTTCTCAGGAGGGAAGTTGAAGATGAGCGTTTCTCCTGCCCGTTGCCTGCCCCCGGCACCTCTGGGCCCAGGAAATCCGGTGGATCCAGCTGAGCCTCTCGAGCCTTTGTCTCCTTTGAACCGAATGTTCAGTGTGGGAGGTCTTGGGCTGGGTATTCCAGCTGGCCCTGGGTCGCCTCTGTCTCCTGCAGGGGCGGGGGGGGGGTGGGTAGATCGTGAGACCCTCATGAGAGGAAGCTTAGACACGGGGTCAGGCACGGGCTGACCTTTCATCTCAGCTCCTCCCGCACCACCCCCAGGCCTCCTTTCCGGGCCCTTCCCCGCCCCTGGCTCCCCAACTTCCCACCTATGTGCATGCCCTCTCCTTGGACAGGCCCAAAGCCGGCCAGCAACTTTGAAGCCTACTCCAAACCCCTCTCCACTGAGCGTCTGGGAACGTTCCATGAGGCCTCTAACATGCGGCAAAAACTCACAAGTGATTAGATCTTTTGGTTTAAAAGCCAAGGTTTGGGGTTCAGAAGCCCCAAATCTTATTATCTAACACAGGATGGGTATAAGCCACACCAGCTTCAAGGTCGATGGACAAAATGTACCTTGGGAAGCGGGGCTAGCAAGTTCAGAATTCAGTTCCCGAGCTCACCTTTTTCACCCACACTACCGACCCGTCCAGATGGTCCCACTCTTCCGGCTGACCCAGAAATGCCCTTTAATCCACTTGCGCCAGGAATACCTGGGAGACCAGGCATCCCCGGGAAACCAGCCAGCCCAACAGACCCCTTCTCACCTGTTGAGAAACGAGAACTTCTATTATTATCCCTGCCTGACATACAAGGAAATGGGACGCTCAGAGAGGTTAAATAACTTACCCCAAATCACACAGCTTGGCAGTTGCAAAGAAGGGATTCCAACCCACGTTTCTCTAAGTCCAAAGCCCCAGCTGTTAATGTTTACATATTATACTACTTCCCTGAACAGGGACATGGCACTAAAGCAACAGGAAGGAAAGAGGAGGTGGGCGCCCCTCTTACGATGTGCCAAGTTAGAACTCATGGGTGGCACAGAAAGGAAAAAAAAAAAAAAAGGCCTAGGACCGGGAGGCAGGGAGATGAGCCCTAGCCAGGTGCTGTTGCTAATCGGCTGTGTGACCTTGGGCCCGTCATTTGCCTCTGTATAAGATGGAGACGCCTCCCCTCCAACCTCTGGTGGTCTAGCGGAAACGGAGAGCCATCGGGCCCCATGGAAGGGGTGGAGCAAATGAGTATACCCAGCGTGGCGGTCACTGTCCTGGGCCTTCCTGACAGCGTTACCCAGCCCAGCGCTCCACCCAGCCAGCAGCGAGGGTGACTCACCTTAGGTGGGAGCCTTCCCTTAGCACGGCTCTGCCCGACGCTCTTACCACAAACAGTCCCACCCACTTTACTTACCCTTCAGACCTGGCAGGCCTGGCAACCCAGTGTTCCCTGGCAAGCCTGAGCTCCCCAAGAAGCCAACCAGCCCTGGAGATCCCGGAAGGCCTTTCAGCCCCGGCAGGCCTCTCTTTCCAGCTGATGAAGGGGGACCTGTCTCGCCTCTTACACCTTTCTTTCCAGGATGTCCTGAATTAGCACAGGAGAGAACACGGGACAGCCGTCAAGGGAGGCTGTGTCCAGATCTGGGCCACTGCCCGTTCCCATGGCTTCTGGTTGGCTGGCTGGCTGGCTGGGTGTTGGAAATGGTCCCTTAACAATGGCCCTGTGCAGGCTGCTAACTGGCAGGCTTCTCAGCTGGCTGAAGCCTTAGCGCTTACCACCCCGAGCCCCACGCACGCCAGTGGCTATTACTTTCAGCATGGCACGGTGGCTGGCAGGGTGCGCAAACCCCTTCCGATTAGAACTTCTTCCCCCTTTTATGAATGTGGTTCACATCTTCGCCTGTGAATGGAGCTCTGGGAAGCCAGGGCGGCAACTGGACCCTAGCTCCCTGGTACGTCCAGTCTGAACCGCGCCACAATGGCTGTTTCCTGAGCCAATCTGGTGAAGTAGAGGTTAAAGCCGGACATTGTTTCAGCCTCCCAGGGAGCCATGGATACAGGGCTGCCCTTTTAATCCCTCTTGCAAGCAGTTAAGTCAGCCAGTTCCTTGGCATTAAGGTTGAAAGACCCCCTAGTGCCAAGTCCTGTAGAAATCCCCAAGGCCCATTTGGTCTCCTAGGTATTCTGGGATTTCTTTCACCAGGCTTTAAGTTGGTCAATGGGATTAACCTCCTGAGCTGCTGCCAAAGTGGAATGTTCAGGTACAAAGCAAGGAAATTAAAAAACCAAAGGATTAAATCAGTGACGACAGAGGTATGTGGGCCCCCGAGGACCTCAATGAATGGCTGACTTGGCTTTCCATGAATTGAAAAGCATCCAGGAGCTGCAAGCCCCAGGATTCTAATGGGGGGCTGGGAAGGGGATTCCACAACAAGGGAAGGAAATTCAATGGGGGCCAGCCCCCCAGCATGAGTCCGGGGACCCCTGGCCTTGCCAGGCTCTAGCATATAGTCCGAGAATTCCTCGAGCAGCACAGCCGGAGGAGGTGTTAGCCTGTGAGCTTGCGTAGTTTTCTCACCTGGACGGCCCATGGGAAGACCCCAGAAACACAGAAGGCTAAAGGGGATTAAAAAGGAGTTGAGCGGTTCTGCAAAAACTCAACTTCAGTCACGTGGCCAGGAGTAAGGTGGGGAGGTAACATAGTCACTGAGGCAGGGGTGAGGCAGGTGGCAGGAGGAGCAGGGGAGCCTCGAACACTAGGCTGGAGCCAGGGGGTTGTCAGCCCCGCGGTCCAGTCCTCAGAGGCATGCTCGCCCGAGAGGCAGGCCACCATGCAGCCACCCTCCGCTCAAGCTGCTGCCCCCCGACCCCAAGCAGGCTCCCCAGGGCCCCAGCCGAGCCAGCGGAGATGGCTAGACCCACCTGCACAACTAGGGTGGTTTCTCGAACTGGGAAAGGGGGAGCGAGGCCATGGGGGAGGGGTGGGGAGGGATGCGAGCTACCTACCCTTTTGGAAGCTAAAGTACAGAAATCTCTTCTGCTTGGCACTGCCAGGGCCCCCTGAGATTGGGAACTGTGAGACATTGGGAAAGTCGAGGACCCTTCTAGACCCTGCCCCTCGTGCATTCCTTCTGTTGCCCCTCGGGGCGCCAGGGCCCAAGGCCCGGCTTAAGGCTGTCAAGCTGGGGCTCCTCCTCTAAAGGACCTACCTGAAGGGCCCGGAAAGCCTGGTGCACCCGGGAGCCCGGGTTTGCCCTTGACGCCAAATAGACCATCAGGCCCAGGGGGCCCTGGCTGTCCCACGTGGCCCGGTGTGCCGGGGCTGCCCCGTTCACCTTTGGGGCCTAGCAGGCCCGACTTCCCAAGCAAACCTAATGAAAGGAAGGGGCAAATGATCAACAGCCTGGATGGGCAGCAGGGACTGGTGACCAAACCAACTTGCCGCGCAAGAGCGTGGCCCAGGGTACATCCCCGTCCTACGGCCTCCTCTGTTCCGGCCCTTGCGGCAAATCAGAGGCTGTACCAGAAACCGGACTCTCCATCATGGTCACTTCCAGATTGACTAAGTAAGGAGAACAGACTCCGGTGATTTAAGAAAAAGTCCCCAGAAGGGAGAGACAGAACAAAATGACTTTTCAGTGTCACCCCCTCATGGATCCACCACCCCAGGCTCAAGCGTGTATTCATGAATACATGCAGGGCTATACCGGTCACCGAAAGACTTTCCATAGACTGTTAAATAAGTGAGTCAAAAAGAGTCACCCTTGGGTCCCGGAAGGCCAGAGTCTCCAGGAAATCCTCTGTCCCCTGGCAATCCCTGCAGGCCTTGCTCCCCCGGAGCACCATCCTCAGCACCAAAGATGTCACCAGGGGCTCCCTTGGAACCGGGTAAACCTGGACTGCCAAGTTCCCCGGGCAAGCCATCTTTCCCAGGGAACCCAGGAAACCCAGGCAAGCCCTTCTCCCCACGAGGTCCAGGAAATCCTAAATGGAAAGAGGCAAAAATAAAAAGGCCATGGAGGTTTAGAAGGGATAGGTCTGGGTAGAGATCTCGGAGACAGATACGGGTTTTTCTATTACAAAAGCTAACATTTCAATAATGTGTGTCACTTCTCTTGAAAAGCAAGAGCCTCTGGTCCTGGGAGGACGTGCCCAGAGGTGGGGACTGCACCCTGTGAGCTGCAGAAGGTTCTAGCTCAGTGAGGCCAGGCCTGGGGCTGAGCCCAGCAACCCACTCCCCGGGCGGCTCCACTGGCCGAAGGGCCCAGGTTATACCCAGGACTCTCCGTCGAAGGCCCAATTTCTTCTGGAGTCATCTATCCCCTGCTGTCATGCCTCCCTCCTCCGTGGGTGATTGGAGGGGCTTGAAGCTGGATAAATAAACCATGGAGGGTATGGCCCATGACGATCCCCGTGCCGCAGAGCAGGCTGGTTCTCAAACTGAGTGGGGGTCAGAACTACCTGGGGAGGGGGGGCTAGGCCACACCCAAATGGCTGGGCACCACCACCCCCCGCCCCGAGCTTCTGATCAGTAGCTCTGCCGAGGGGCCAAGAGTCTGCATTATTATTAACAGGTTCCCAGGAGACGCTGGTGCTGCAGCTCTGGGGAACACAGTTTAAGAACCACTGGGGCAGTGGAGAACAAGCTTGCCGCAGGGTGTGAGCAAAGGGATAGAAAGAAACCACTTCCCTCTGACTCATCTGAACATCTTTGTGTGACCTAGAAGGATTCGATCCAGGAACTTGCCAGAGGCTTGGCAGTCAGCTAACCGGTGGAGTCCTAGCTCTGTCACTAGTGACTTTGTGACCTCAGGCAAAGGCACTTTCCACCTGAGCTTCATCTGAAAGTGAAGGGCTTGTCCTGGCTGATGGCCCTGACCACTCTGACTCACTGTCACGCTCTAGCTTGAAGCCTTCTCTCACCTGAGTACGAGATCAAAACCACCCCGCCCACACCAGAGCACAAACCTCACTGCCTGGGATCAATGGATGGCTGGCTACCACGATTCAAAGCCACAGTCACAGGGGAGGAGAAGCAGGTGAGGAAAAGCTTCGTTCCTTACCTGGCAATTCAGGAAGTTGAACCAATCCTGGACTTCCAGGCTCTCCTTTATTTCCACGCAGTCCAGGCTGGCCTGGGGTCCCAGGGAGGCCGCGGGCCCCTTTAGGGCCTGCGAACCCAAACATGAGTGGTGAGGGGAAAGGAAAGTCAGGGTGCCTGGTCACCTTTGGGATGTTCACTCAAGAATCCTAGTCTCTTGGGCAGGGCAGGGGGCCTCTTAGTCTTACCTCACCGCACGGACCTCTCCAGGAGCCATTCTATTTCCTCAATGCTCAAGGCCACCCTCTCGGGAGGAATGTGCCCCCCCAAATGCTGCCAGCCTGGGCCCCGCTTCCTTGGGCTCATGGCCCTTATGAGTATGCTCAGTGGCTTTCTCTGGACTCATTCCATACCTGGGAATCCGGGAGCTCCTGGTAAGCCTGATGGACCATAGGACCCAGGAATTATACATGGCAAGGTGATGCCTGTAAGTGGTGACACGTAAGCATCCGGTGAGCCCGCCAAGTCAGGAACGATTTCCCCCTAGCATGCTCCTTTACTCCCATCCCCTCAGATGGCACAACCAAGTTCTTCCCACCCAGCAGCTGGGAGCCCATGCAGAAGAATCCTGGCATCAGAAGCTCTTGGGAGTTACTCCTCCTGCAACTCCTTGTAGATAAGAGTATCCCTAGGGGCCAAGTGCCAGAAAGCCACCTCCTAAACCAACGTCCAGTGGGCAGGCAGTCATCTATGCAGTAGATGTCCCCTCACAAGATCTCTGAGAGGTAGCCTATGTGGGAGCAGCACCAAAGGGCAACTGCCTACTCGCCCCGCCCTTATATGGAGCCTCTCCCTAGGATGGGGGCTTGGGGTTCGTCCTGAGGATCCATTATGGCCATGGGACTAGACTGGAGGGCTTGCAGCCAAGACCCCTTGAGTTCACATGTCTGCCCTTTTCTTGAAATGAAAACAACCCACTGGGTTCTTTTGCCCCACCTCATTTGGGATCTACAGAAACCTACTGACGATGACCCTGGGTCTGAGGTAGCTGTATTGCTGTACTAGGCAAACACTGAAGGCCACGCTCTTGGCCATGACACACAGTGACCCTTCCCTTAGCTCCTCCTTTGAAAATGTCAACTCTGTGACTCAGGGAGAAGCAGTAGTCAATTTCAGGGTTCAAGACATTGAAATTGGCAGGCAGAGCCCCTTCCCTAGCAAATTCCTCCTTGCTCGTTCATAATGCAAATAAAGAGTCTATATAAGATCACAGAGGGGAGGTTTAATAAAATACCGATGAACAAATTGTGTGTCGGCTCCCTCAAGTGCCATTTACAAACAATTGCTATGCTAATTAAAATTAGTCTTGCCTATTCATTAAAACAATCCCCCAAGGCCTGCTTAAAGCCACAGAGCCAATAGTTCTAGTAAACTGCTATAGCTTTTGCCCATACTTAAGAGAAATCACAAATTGCATTTCCTGCTGATATGTATACAAGCTATGATTCAGATTGCACACTCAACTGGCTGCCATTCCTCCTCCACGTGTTCTAGTCCTAAAACAAAATGGGGGATTGAACGGTATAGTGTATTGGTTAAGAGTTTGGGCTCTGAGGCCAGAGACACCTGAGCTTGCATCCTAGTTCTGCTACTCACTAGTCGTGGGGGCAAGATACTTCAACCTCTCTGAGCCTCAGGCATAAAACAGAAGCTACTCTTCTTAGATGGTGTTTGTGAGGATGGCAGGACAGGATGCTAGCAGCATTTCACCGGGTGCCCAGCACCCTGGTGGTTGCTCAGTAAATGGCCATTTTTGTTTGTTTGTTTGTTTGTTTTTAATCATCTTATTTAGGGAGGAGTATTCAGAAGAGCTCCTCCAAGGCCATCCCCTGCTTTCTACCTTAGTCCGGTTAGCGACACTACTCTATAGCCTGGGCAGGGACTGTCTGCCTTCTAGACCGCAGGTCCTGAGAGTCATACTTCTACAGCTGGAGAGAGGGCGTTAGGGCCTGACCGTTCCCCATAGGTGCTCACACCCACCTGCCAGGTGCTGAGATGATGGTGCTATTTCTGAGGGCCATCTCCCTACTATAGAACTATATAACCTGTGGGCAAGCTCGTCATGATAAGATGCTCGGCTGGGTGAGGGCTGCCAATCCTGTGCTCAGCTTGGGCCTTGGTCCTTTGGACTAGATGGAAGAGCAGCCTCCCTGGGTGCTATCACAAGAGGGACCCTGCAGAAGATTCTCATGTCCCCGCTATTTCAATAGCCCGTTGACTCCAATGTATCAAACACTGCTGTTTCATTGCTTCCAATCTTATGAAACAAAGGGTAAAATCCAAATACCTCTGCGCTGGCTGCAAACATGAACATCCATCCTCACTCCATTCATTAGATAAGTTTCATAAATTCTTTTCACTTGTGACAGCCAGATAAAAACAAACCTTTAGAGGATGGGGCCAAGGACAGGCCTCTGGAAAGGCTCCAGGACAGACCTGCACACCACAGCACACTTGTGTATTGCGAGCAGAGGGTCAAAACGCTCAGGAGGGAAGAACTTCAAGTCACCCTGGTACCTGGCTCTTTCACTTTACACCTCTGTCTTCTACTTTCCATCCCTGAATTCAGAGCCTTCTCCCCACCACAAAGCAGAAATCAGCTCTCTCTGCCTTCTGCTTCATAAGTGCAACACACGAGCTAATTAATGAGAATTTAGTGTCTTCAGAATGTGTCTTCAGAATAAAAAGTGCCTCTGCTTCTGGAGATTCTAACATCTCCGTTTACTCTGGGTCCCATGAATGAACATCAGACATGTGTGCATCCTTCCGGGTACCTCCCAAGGCAAGTTATGGCCCCCGTTAAGTTCACAAAATGAAGGTGCTCCAGGCAGACATCAGCCAAGCCATCGACATGCATGGTGAAGGAAATTAGTCTCTCTCAGAGACCGCATGCCCACTTACTGCTTTGTGCCCCAGCCTTAGGATCACCCCCTTCCCCCAACCAGAGGCTCCAGTGCGGTGCTCAGGCCATCATGAGTGTCTGAGATAGAGGTGAACAAAAAGGAAGGAAGCTTTTGCCCACACTGGTGTTTGAGAACCTCGACACTGAGCTAGCTCTCACCTCCCTCTGTGACTAAGTGTCCTTTACCAACGCTCTCCCTGCAGCAGCAATCACCTAGACCAATCGAGTAAAGAAGAAAATTAAACCGGGACAGCAGTTTCTTGAGGTCCAAGGGAAGTCTGGCCTGCAGCCTGGGTATGCCCACCGATCACAGTCCCTGTCTGGATTGAAGGGAGAGAGCTGACACACACATGGGATCAAGGACACAGTAGCTGTTTCGGTAATAACCAGGGTGATGGATTACTATGAGCATCTGGATCAGAGCCTCTTTGGGAACAGCCAGTTGTCTGCTGGTCCAAGGCTTGTAATAATTCACACCACTCGGGTGAAAGGCTTCTAATGACTACATTCCCTTTCTGGCAATGCAGCCATCCTAGCCTGGGCTACCACTGGTCGGAGTGAGTACATTAAGAATAGCATCTTCAGGGGGCTCAGTCGGTTAAGCGTCTGACTCTTGACTTCGGCGCAGGTCTGATCTCAGGGTCATGAGATGGAGCCGTGCGTTGGGCCCTGTGCTGGGCGTGGAGCCTGCTTCAGATTCTCTCCCTCTGCCCCTGTCCGCTCACCCTGCTGCTCACACACTCTCTTAAAAAAATAATAGAATAGCATCTTTTGTTTTCATGGCAACAGTAATGGCCACAATGCAAATGTCTAGAGCTCATAGGTTATGTGTTTTTAAAATTGTGTGGAATAAAATTGCTAGGTTTGAGGAGCTGTGTTTGGTTGCCATGGAGAGAAAAAAGAAAGCCAATGCTCTTAGTTGAAGTAATTTTTTGGAAAATCGTGGTACTGCAACAAGACCATTTTCTGCATAAGGCATCTCCCAGGCTAGAGTTTACTATAGGACTATGTTCCTAAGAACTTTCTGTGTCTGGGGCCTAGTGATGTTTAGGGTAGAAATGGTCCCATGGGCCTCCTTCTGTTGACTCAGCTTATTGTCAAACAATCAGAATGTTGATAATATCCAGATTTGAGTGTGTGTAAGTATGTATGTACCATCTCAGTATAACTCAGTTTAAAAACCTAGTTGTCTAAACAAATGGTTGGCCTAGAATAAAGACCCAGTTGGCAGAGGGGCAGTGGAATGACCATGAATAATGTCTCTGGGAACAGAGCTAGATGCAAAGGTATGGCTGACACCAGGACTTGCAAAAGGCAGGATGACTGAGTCTGATAAAAATTCCTCACAGCTTTCATAGGACTTTGTAAACTGAAATACTGACTTGGTTTTAAGAATCTTGAATCATGGAAGCCAGGGCAAAAATGAACTATTGGGATTTCATCAAGATAAAAAGCTTTTGCACAGCAAAAGAAACA